TCAGGGCTGTGCTCATGCTGGTGTCTGCCCCAAGTCCTGATTTCAAAGTAAATGCACTCTGGGTTTTAAATAAGAAATATAATTCTTTTAATATATTCCTTTGGTCTATATCTGTCTATCTATCTGTCTGTCTATCTATCTATCTCCTTTTGAAGCTTTCTGTATGGTAAGACTGGGAATCGGAGCAGGGATGATGCTAGTGTTTTCAATCCAGATACTTAACAGAGTGTAATACATTTTCTGTGCCCTGAGTAGTTACTCATTTAAATCTGATTAATAATATCTGTTTTGTACAGCTTTCTTTGCACCCCAAGAGCATTGCAGAAAGAATTCCCCTTGTTCTGAGAGTCCCTTTTTTGCATTTGGAGTGAAGCAAAGGCTTTTGAATTGTTGTGGGGCTGACAGCAGAGGCTGTGGTGTGGACTGTATGGCCCGTGAGCAGGGTCCAGGCTGGCAGAAGTGTTGCCCTAATGTGCTGCCTGCTCAGTGCAGACCCCTGTCCTCGGGGCCCTACAGGGTGGGCAGGGCCAAGGCTGGATGGACCATCCTGGCTTTTTATTTTCTCCAAGCTCACTACCTGAGACCTTGGCACGTGCTGCACAGCCAAACCCCAGATACTCTGTGGGGATGTGATGTGGCTTTGTAAGTGCAGACATTTAATATCACTTACCTGTTGTGGGGTAAGGACAGTCAAACCTGGAAGAGCTGGTTTACAGCTGCTGCCCCAGAAAGGCTGGGTCTTCTGCAGCTCTCAGGGCTTATCTGTCAGCCCTGTGCAAATGTCCCCAAACACATCAGGGCAGGTCAAATGACACTAAATGCATTCATTTTGGTGTTTTGTGCAGGTAATGTGTAGTAAGTGTAACAGCCTGGTAAAAGACAGGAGCTGAAAGCCCCTGATGTTGATAATATAAGTATGTGTTGTAAAAAATGGGGTATCAGCAGTCTTCTCTGTTTCTTTGCTAATTTGCACTTATTAACTCTGTATTAGCTTCCCTTCTGCTCTTCCTGTCTTTCCTTTTCTAATATCCCTGATGGGTAAGTCCAGGAGCAGGGATTGGCGTGCACATTCTTCTCCTGGAAAGAGACTTCCTCTGAGCTATTTCTTCATTTTCTCTCCTGTCAGGCTGGGAGCCCTCCCAGCTCCAGGAGCAGGGCTGAAGCATTTCTCTTCCCTCTCTCTGCAGGTTGTTTACATAAGTATCAGTGGATCATGACTCAGAGTGCTAATCTCTGTAACCCAGAAAAGAAAACGTGGTATTGCCAGAGACATGCCTGGAGTCGCATCGTTATTAATCACCTGTAGCAATTGCTGCCTGAAAAGCAATTCTTGTGTAGTTATTAATGGCTGCTTTGTGTTAGGGTATAAACACAAATGAGAGATAATCCTGTTTTGATGAGTTGAAATCTAAATAAACAGGGTACACGAAAGCAGGGGAGAAAGCAAAACTGTGAAATGCCTTAGTGCATAAAAACCCTTAATCTCTCTGTTTGTCAGCCCCACTTTTGTAAAATGGGGTAATGGTGTTATCTTCTAATTTAATTTAGATTGCAGCCCCTCCAGAACCATTATGGATTAGCTTTTAATTATTGTTTTTTGTTCTTTTGTGCTTCTACTGTGCTTAGCATGAGATTCTGATTCTGGTGTAGGAGCTGAGGGTACTGCTCCACAAAAAGTGTGTATTGAGGGTGGTGGATATTTTCATCTCAAGGAAAATTATGAGACAATCAGAATGGTGTATGATCCATGTAATCATAAAGTAGTAGCTAAACACTACTTCTCATTACCTCATTCACTCTACGTATGCAGATGTGTCCTGCTGCCTTGAAGCGTCCTTATGCAAAAAAAAAAGTGAGAGGGAAGCTATGACTGCCATTTGTACTATAATAAAAGTCTAGGCTTTTGTAGTGAAATACAAATTTCTGAGCTTGATTCTAAAGCTTTAAAGCTTTAGGAGAACTGAAAAAAAGAAAATCAAAAAATCAAACTTTTAGGAGTTATTTACTGTTTGGTTGTTTTGGGTTGTTCTTGTTTGGTTTTTTTAAAAAGTGTATTAAAACCACTGATTTATAAAAGTGACACTTTTGTCTGGTACATTCTAAAGGCCTTTTTATAGAAACAAATGATCTTACTATTTTTTTGGCAAAGACCAAAAACATCTATTTGTGTGAATCCATTGGAATTTTTTCACAAAATAAAGCTAATCCTGTTCCTTTTCCCACCCCAGCTGATTCTGAATTGAGATGCCTATATAGTGTACTTTTAAATGTTCTGCTGACTTGTAGGCACAAGTGGAATTTGTATTAAAAAAATCTTTGGTAAGCTTCTTTTACCAGTGTTTAAAAACTAAGGAACTCATAAATAATAAAATCATGTGGTAGGCTTGGCAGGATGATATTCAAACAACCCATACACTTTTTTGAAGTGTGAATTCAATGTGTCATCAGTCACTAGGGAAAAAAAGTACTGATCCTGGATGGATGAGTGCTTGCAGGAGGGGAGGCTGGACTGCAGACACAGAGGACAGGATGTGGAAGCGGCTCTCGTCCTAGAGCACCCCGTGCTCCCTGAAGTGTTTTGGAGGTGGTCTCTGTCTGCAGGATGGGGCTACTGGGAGCAAGGAAGAGGCTGTCCTCTTCCTTCCCTTAATGTCAGCAGCCACACCGTTGCTTTGGACCTTGTTTGGTGCCTCCTCAGCATGCCGGGTCTAGCAGAGGGGGATGAGTAGCTGAACAATGCAATATTCCCTCATGCAAATTGCCCTGGACTCAATGGGAATTTTGCTAGTGCCAGATTGGATCCCACTAATGGAAAAGGCTGACTTGGGGGAAGGACTAGATCAATGCACTATTGTTCCTTATGCTATATTTAAAAGCATGCATTTCATGGAAATTTAAAAATGGAACTTCTAGGCCACATGTATCCGTAGCTCCTGTGAATAATTGGAGCTATTCATCTCCTGGGCTGCCGTAAAGCAGCCGTTGTTCCAGCGGGGCTGTGGCTTTCCTATCTCATCTTCAGCGGCGGTGATGAGAGAGTAATTGTGGTGGCAGCAGACAAAGGTACTTATTTTTGCAGAGATGACTGGCCAGGCTGGGAGTAAACTGAGCTGTGCTTATTCCTTCCCCACCTGGGTTCCTGGTCTGAGTTTTAATTTATTTTGTTGGTTTAAATTTGTAATAAAGATGTGGATTAATTTCACGTGCCTGGTGATCATTAGAGGACAGCTGCTCTTTGCCACTTCCCTTTAGCAGATAAATGTGTCTTTGTTATTTTTGTATTTGTTTTCCTCCATTGGTTTTGTATTTATCAGGTTTTTTTAATTAAAAAATCAACAACAGATGAATGGATGCTATTTTTGAAAAGAAAAAGCCCACTGCCCTCAATACAGACAGTCAGTGTCATTTTGCTGACGAGATGCTTTGCTTTTAAGAAAATCTGGCATTTGAGTTTTCCTTGGCTTTTGAGAGGAGCCAAATGCATAATTCACTTGGCCTCTGTGCACTACTTTTGAATTCTGCTGTGGATCCATTTGCAAGAGAATAGCAGGAAGGATGTACAGTGCCTACTTCTTTCTTGTGCCTGCGACACGGAGAGAAGGGGTGTTAGTTTGATTAACTATAGGCCACTGAAGAGACAGATGAAAAGTGGCAAAATGTAAATCAACTTTGTCCCAGCTACCTTCATTGTTTGCCATTGCTTGTGTATGCTTGCCCATGTCACTGAAAGCACAGTCTCTTGAAAACTGGTGGTGTGTGAGCTTCCCTCGGTGCACTCTGAGGGCATGCCTAAGATTTTGGAGATGTATCTTGAGAAATCCCCCGCAGGCTTGAGTGCAGGATGAGTGTGGTGGTTGTTTGTGAGGTGATACCAGTGGCACCACTTTAAGTGTTAAATGCTGGGACACCTGCAGCGAGTGCCTGTGCACACAATTTTGCTGGAGCAGGTTTTGAAACCTGAGCTGTTGAATGTGATCTTACTGTGGCTTAGTGTTAAAAGCTTGGTTTTTCTTGCTTCAGACTCATTCCCCTGCAGCTCTAGTGATCTGGCTAGTATAAACAGCTATACCTGAATGCTATCTGTTGTATAACTTAAGGCTTGAGGGTTTTTCCCCCATTACCAGGCTTACAAAGGACTGTCAAGGTGCATGGCAGAACCCCCAGGATGAGGCAATGCCCATGCCTCTGTGCTCAAGCATGTTAGTGGGTGGAGGCTGTTGGAGGGAGCATCGCCATGGTCCAAACTCTTGGGAAGGTGCTTGTAAAGAAGGAGAAATAGGTGAGATGTCCAAAGAGCCTCAGATTGCCAAGAGCAAAGGTGAAAAAATAGTTTTTCCATGTCCTGCCAAGGGTGCCAGGAGTGAAGTGACTCAGAGATCACTGACTAGGGAGCTGCATGAAGTGTGCTAAAAAAAGATGGGGCAGTATGTAGAGTATCTGCTCTACTTCTGGATCTCTTGACTTTGCAGTACAAATAAAAAAAATAAAACTGAACAGAAAGCACTCCCTAGAACCTGCATAGGTCTTGTTTGGTTGTTTGTTTTACCCTACTAATATTCATCCTGTAACATTACCAGGCTTAGGATACTTCTGTTTTTCTCTTCAACATGTTTTCCAAGTTCTTTGCAAGTATTAAATCTGATTAGTTCCCTATTGATCCAACAGCAAAAAAAATCAACTTCACTTCTCTCTGCATAGTTTTGACTGTAAATATTTCCTTTCAGTATAATGATGACAAGCAATGCAGTATCATGGTAATCAAATCACCCTAGATAGCCACTAAACGTAACTGTCTCTGGGAAATATTGAACATTGCAGAATTCATGAGTGGTAAGGATATATTGGTATAAATATCAAAATCCCCAGAACCTCTCTAGTACATGCTGAGGCAGTATCCTTAGCAAGGTCTGTATTTTTGAAGGCAGACTTTAACTAGAAAGGTAAAAAAATTGCATGTATTTTAATTGCCTGAAATAGGTAAAGGGCCAACTTCTTTCCAGATATCTTGGTGGTCTCTTCTGTGTGCAGGAGCTGTGTGAGAGATGAGCAGTGCAAAACATTGCCTTGGCATGAAGGTAAGTTTGGCCTCAGCTAATTCACAACCATCCTGATTTGACCGGTCTGCTCACAACGACACCATTTAAAGTGTGAGGATTATTTGGTCTGCACGTGCCCAAGCACAGACACCAGAAAAGTGGAGAATTTGGGATCTGCACTGGTGAAAGCACACAGGCATCAGCTGCTGGGGGTGCAGCCAGTGTGACTTGAGTTCTGGCACTGCCTTTCTGTTGGGCTGAGGCACAAGTGGGGGCACTGCACCCTTCAAAGCTTGCAGTAAGTGCTGGTGGGGAGGTGCTGGCAGGACCAGGGTCCCTGGCACCTCTGCAACCCTGCAGGGCTCAATGTGCCCCTCACCACCTCAGGTGGTTCTGGTCTGGACCTGCAAGAACAACAGGGATGCAGCCCCCACCCCAAATGCATCCCCAGTGCACAGACACACCTGGCACAGACATACCTGGATGGCAGCTTGGGAAACTGATTTAAATTAAACCAGCTTAGCAAATATAGCCCAAACACTTTGCTTTTGCTGAGATTAGCTTCCCAACTCTGGTCTGCTGTGTTGCCTCCTGTTTGTGCTGGTCTCATCGTGGGGTGAGCAGCTGGACAGGGTCAGACTGTGCATTCAGGATCAGTATGGCCTTATACTGCCCACAAGGTACTCCTGAAACCTGACTTTAGGTTTGCTAAAATGGGGTTTCCTGTTTTTTAGTGAAGTGTTTGCCTTTTTGGTATTCAGGGAAGAGCACTGGTGGCCCTAGGCTAGTCAGCAGTGTTGATCACAGCATTAATCCTACAGATTAATTAAACACCAATAGAGGATAACTTTGCCCCAAATCAATTAAAATGTTATAAGCTAAACCACGTGGAATTATGTTAAAAGAAATTTTTCCTTTTTTCAAAATTTTTTTGGCATGGATCATTTATTTTTGGTGGGCACTGTGGCAAGGGCACTGTGGTGTGGAGTACTGCCTCTGAGAGACAGTCTTTCCACTGTCCAAAGGACCTTGACAAACATATATATTTTTATATATATATATATATATGCATCTATATACAAAGCCCTGCTATACTACTAACAGTGGATTGCTTCCAGTTATCACCCAGCACTTGCCCTCTTCTTTCACACTTTCTTTTTTGGCAGGAGGAAGCCAAACTCAAAAGACATCAACAACAACAAAAAACCTGAGCAGTGAACCTAGAATGTGTTAGATCAATGCAGACACCATGAAAAATAACCAGGACATGCCTTTGTGGCTTTTGATGTAGCTATGTCTGTGGCTGAAACTAACAGATGCAAAAGCTAACTGCCAGATATCCAATGTGTGTGCCAATGCTGACAAACCTGCCAGATGCCTGGCAGCTGGTCTTGCCCCAACTCCAGTGGCTCTCTTGTATATAGATTGCCTTTTGAACAACAACAGAATGTTTATCTGAGGTATCTCATGAAAGCATCTTCCCATAAATACAGTAATTATTTTTTTTTTTAAGTCAGTAATCTAGTGAGTTCATGTTAGAAGGAGGAAGGATGCTGAAGCCTTGATAATCTTTATCCGGTATACGTCAAGCATTTTGGGGTGTTATTCAGTTGCAGAAATTGGATGGTCTGCAATTCAGACTGTAAATGGTCATTCTGTCCCCTACAGCAAGAGTGGTTATATGTAAGCCAACTGGGCAGGTTGGAGAGAAAATGCTATTTGGGCTTTTATAAACAAAGCTTTTGCTGTTCCAGGCTATGATGCTGAAAGGAAATCAATGTTTTTTCCACTAAATGTGGTTTTATCTGGCCAGAATAAACAGTTGTGACAGGATATTGGTGCTAAATTTATTAATAGTCTTCTCTAGCTTTGACATTCTGGGAAAAATTACCTGAGATAATTTGAAGCTAGCCAGAAAAAGTTAATTTTTTTCCCCCTTTACTTCCTGTTTAGGCTTTAGTTAGATATATGGCAGTTTAAACAGCTGACCTGGAATATACCTTTAAATAATAATAATTTTTTTAAAAAATATGTAAATACAGCTGAAGCCAGGATAAAAATATTCTGTAGAAAAGCACATAACATGATCCTCTGAAGAACAGAATCTCCGGACCATCCATTAACTTGATGCTGGTATTTTTATCAACTTCATGCTGCAACTTGTGCTTTTAATTTTCAGGAACTGCTATTTTTTCTGTCTAGTTTGCAGGGCAGGCCATTTGACTTGCAGCTCTTAGTGTGTGTGAGCTTTACTTCCAGATTCTTTAAATTCGGATTTCATTTTGAACTACAATTGAATTAGTGATCACTGATTTGATTACTGATCTTTAAATAATTCTCCAAGATGGTGCATGAAGGATGGAATCACCAGTTTCCATCTGCAAATGTTTTATTGGGCATTTGGCTCTTGAGGGGGGAATGAGTGGTTTTTGCTGTGTGTTATGTCCCAAACTCTCACCAAACCCAGAAGGACCTGGCAGTTCCTTCTGTGGATTTATCCTCAGCACACTTACAACATGAGATCAGGCAGCTTTATTTGCAGTCTGAAGTATTTTATTAACTTCTCTATTTCTTATATTTTTTTCCAAATACAGACAACAATACTACAACTGAATTCTTCTATCCAAGCATCAAGAGTAGCCTGATTTATCTCTAAATGTACAGGGGAAATGATTATAAAGGTCATCAATCTACAAACCTGTGTGGTTTTGGTGCAGCTCATGAGTAGGTGTATCAGTTTTGTGCTAGCAGCAATGACATATGGTAGTTTACAGAGAGAAATCAGCAAATGAATAAACCTTTCCACCTTCAGCTTTGTGGGAATTCTGTTCTGCTTAATCTGCTGCAAAGCTCCTTCTTTTTTCTGCACTTGTTTTCAACCTTGCACTTGGCCCAACTAAATTATACCATTGCTCCTAGTGTTTCTGTAGCACCTCTGCTTACTTTAGGGGGAATGGTGAGGAATGCCTTGAAAAATCAGTTATTATTTTATTATTATATTATTTTTTTTTTAGATAAAGGTGACCGTAGCACTCTAGCTGCTCTGTGTTTGAAATATTCTATCAAACCCACCATTTGCTCTTCAACCCAAATTACCAAACATGCTGGAAATGAAAGGATTCATTCAGGGCTGGGGTCCTGCCAAGCTGTGGCCATGTGTGCTTCCCAGGACTTTATTTACGAATGAGTTCCACCTTCCCAGACTTGTAAGAGTTTCAAGAATATGAAGTTTTCAGACAGGATAAAAAGAATCATTTATTTTCTTGCCCTATAAAGAGCTGCGTAGCAAAATCTCTGTGAGGTGCTTTACATGTTGAATCGACAACTGGATGGGAGCTTATTTACCTCTAAAGTGCAGTATGTTGCAAAACTGGAAAATACTTCTCTGCTGCCCTGGAGTCAAAGGCAAATCTGCTGACTTGCTTGAGAAAAGGTACAAGGCAGGGTTTGGTCTTCAGTAGTTGATATGTGGCTTACTGGTAGATGATGAGGCAAGGCTGAGAAGATTATTAGGCCAATTACTGCTGGCAAATGGCACTAATGGATGGACTCTGGATTTCCTCTCCTCTGATATTTCCAGTCTTGGATTTGCTTAGCATCACAGCTGTTTTAATGTGCTCCCTTCTATTGCAAAAGTCCAGGTGGGAGTCTGGAGGTAGGAATTACCCCCAAATGGTGGGATGAAACCTCTCCAGGTTGTCCCCACAGTGCCCTGTCTTTCCTCTTTTGCCATCCTGCTGTCAGGGTCTTTCCTCTTTTGCCATCCTGCTGTCAGGTCAGGCTGAGCAACAGACACTGATCCTGCCATGTTTTCCAGCAGGAACAGAAGTCACCTAGAAATCACCTGTGAGAACTTTCATCCTGCCTCTATGCTGATGCAGCACGGGAAATGGCAATCAAGGATCTCAGCATTTATCTATCTCCTGGTACTAGCAGTGGCCTTTGTAATTTCTTTCTCACAAAGGCAGTGAGTGCTGGACATCTCTTCAAGCAATTGTGGAAGAAGGACAATGAAAGGCAAAAGGCACTTAGCAGCACAAGCTGCCCTTGGGGCAGAAAAAGGACTGGTTTTGCTGTCTGACTTCCCAAGAGGGTTCTTCTGAATTCTGGAAAATAAGTGATAAAATTGGATGTTCTAGTCTGCATATTGAAACCAGGGGTGAGGTTGCAAAGGTTTAGGCAAGCAGTCAGGATGTGAAGAGTGAGACATGTTCTCTCAAGCAAAGGTAGAGCAGAGACAAGTGTGGGGAGTAGTAGTACTCTCCTAGACATGTCATGCCATGCCAGCCCTCTGCATAAAATTTGGTACAAAAATTTGTGTATCTGAAGGAAGCGGAAAAACTGCTGCCTAAAAAATTAAATACTACTCTCCATCAGCTGCTTGAAACTTCCACTTCCATGGACTTCATCCCACAGAGGAAGGTTTCCAGGATAAAGTGACTCATAGGTGAAGTTGTTTGGGAAGACCTTGATCCGCAGTGGAAAGCACCTTGCAGAAGGAACTGTGTGAGAAATACATTATGGCCTGTGGTGACATCCTGCTAATGGCCACAGGGACACTTAGGGTCTAAAGCACACCTCTTATGAGGAGCAGCTGAGGGAGATGGACTTGTTTAGCCTGGAGATAAGGAGGTTCAAGGGAGACCTTATCACTCTCTACAACTACCTTAAAGGAGGGTGTGGTGAGATGGGAGTTGGTCTCTTCTTCCAAGTAACAAATCATTGGATGAGAGGAAATGACCTCAAGTTGAACCAGGGAAGGTTTAGATGTGACATTCTGGAAAAATTCTTCAGGTTGTTGAAGACTGAAACAGGCTGCCTAGGGAAGTGGTTGAGTCACCATCCCTGGAGGTATTTAAAACATGTTTGGATATGGTGCTTAGGGACATGGTTTAGTGGTGGACTTGGCAGTGTTGAGTTAACTGTTGGACTCTGTGATCTTCAAGGTCTTTTCCAACCTAAACAGTTCTGTGATTCCATGATTCTCTATATGGCTGTGATGCCTGGGCAAGTGAATGCTGGTGGAACCAGCTCAAAAGCTGTTGCACAATTTTATTCTACAAGTGTTGGCTCATTGCTGTCAACCTTGACAGAGACCTCCTGTGGGCTTGGATGCTGTGGGTGTTGTAGCATTGGTCTGCAAGGGAACAGAAGGCTGCTTTGATCTGTGGGGCAGTGAGGAGGGAGGGGGGCCTCGGCATGAATTGATGTGGGGATCACAGAGAGCCCCGTATGGTGACCCTGTCTCCCTAGGGAGACGCGGCTCTTGTCCAGCCTGTCTGTCTTCACAGACACAATGCAGCAGCTCGTACTCCAACAGGGACACATCCCCTGGAGGAAGCTATTTAACAGCAAATTGGCCTAGTAATTTTTAGAGATGACCTTGTGTTAATTACAAGTTGCTATATTAGTAAATGCCTTCTGAAGGCCAGCTGTTGTGTTGGCTTTAACTCCCAGACTCAACTGCTAGTTTACTAAGTCCCAGGGCAATTAAAACTTTTTTCTTTTTTTTTTCCCTTCTTATTGTTTTTGATTCAGCTTGGTGTGCAGCCAGGTGATGAACACTTCTCCCCTCTTCCTTTTCACTGTCTTCTTGCCTGGCTGCTGGAAAGGGTCTGTGTCTGATAGACTTTTCCTTGCTCAGTCCCAGGTGTTTGCTCGCCTTCCTGCACGATGCTGGCACCTCCATTCTGGACCGGTGCTCCAAGAGGCATTGTAGAAAGCAGAAAAAGGCACTTTAACAGGCTTTGTTTAAGTGAGGTCTTGGTCACCCTGAAGCTTTCTGGAAATGTAGAATAGTGGTTTGGAATGGCAGTGTTGGGAATAGACCATAGTGGGAACAGGTCTCCCATGACACAGTGTGGGACTGCAGGGGAAGGGAAGACTTAGGCTTGAATTGGGAAGACTGTTGGCTGCAGCACTACCTGAGATATACCCAGGATCACAAAACAGCCTAGAAAAGTGTCAAAAGGCCACTTGGGATAGACAGTCCCTGCAGCAGCTGGTGTCTCCTGTCTCCTACTGGAGATAGCATGTCTCCTTTGCCAGTGGTGCAGCACAGAGCTATACCTTGCAAGCCCCTGCCCTCTGCTCTAGGGGAAGAGGGTCTCAGTGCAGGTGGCAGCACCATGTCACCAACAGACGACACAGTTTTGGAACAGAGTAAATTTTGGTACCAAGTTCACATTAAGATTGGAGTGCCTATTGGAGTGGGGCAGGGACCGTGAGTGGAGCTGGGTTGCTGCTTTTCCCCACTGGTCTTGCAATGTCCAGCTCTGCTTTGAGGTCTTCTGGCACCTCTGGGTGCAGGTGCTGCTGGGAAAGGCTGACTCCTGATTAGGAAGGGCCCTGTATCTATGTCACCTATGCTACTAGTGTTTGGGCAATAACAGTGCCTGTGTGAAGTTTTTTAAATCAGTAATCCACATGATGGTTTGCATAGAGGGATGCAGGGAAGGGTTGCAGGATACTGCCGAAAGCTCTGTGGAGCAGCTCCCCTGGGCATGAGAAACCTTACTGATGTCCTTTTCAACTCAGTTTTCAATAAGAAATGATTAGAGAATTGAACCAATAGGAAGGTCTATGTTCCCTGAAAATCAAATGTGGTTTGTTCACATGTACATTTCATATAACAGTAAGATTGTAACTAAATCAGCCAAAGTATGCAAAAGGGTACATTTATACAGCTTTCCCCCACCATAAGTCTCAAAGTATGCAGAAAAGTGGAAGAGAGGGCTTCCTATGCCTTTTTCATAGACAAGGAATTTGCATTTTATGTGCCTAAAACTTCTTCCTTTGCTTCCTTATCTATCAGTCTCATCCATTGGAAAGCA